GCCATATTGAACCTTTTTTGTAAATAGACAAAAATTAAAATATCTCCTAAAGTAATAATTTTTTTACATAAATAGGTCAATACTTTTTTGTAAATAATATGAAAGTGCATCAGATGATGCAATAAAAAATATATGATTCCATTTAAAAAAACATTAATGACCTTCATATGTCCTTGACACGTCCACCTAAAAAAAAAAGTACAATCAGTATGAGCCCCTTTTAAAGCCATTCAACTCCATGTGAAACATTCTCTGCTACGCGTAATAAAAACGTAAATCAAGATGGTAAAATGTGGTGACCCACCCTGTATATTGCACGAGTAATATATACAATGTCCTATTGAGTAGAACATTGTATAGATTGTTTGGTCAATCTCTATAATGCCCAGAGGGTTTTGTTCACTTTAGAATATATGCTTTAATTGATTGTGTTTAGAGCACGGATGGGGAGTGGGAAGGGATGTTTACACTCATGTAAGTGAAACAAATTATGGAAATTAAAAAATTTGTACACAGTGTTAGCAGCAAGCTTCGGTCAGTCTACAAAATGTACTTACATTAGTGGGGTGTGTTTAAAGAACAGCGTGCAAGGATGTAGGTCAGTATATACAATGTCCTTAGTAATATATTATCCGTAACATATGTATATAGATTTCATAATTTTTAATAAATATTATTTAATTCCTACGAGTAAATTGTTGCTTTTCTTATGTATATAACGAGATAATACTATAATAATACGGTATATATAATTAAAGGCATTAATTTTTTTTTTTAATAATAGATATATAATATTAAAATTCGAGTCGATTTTTGTTTTATTAAAAAAACATACTTACGATAGCTCGATATAACAAGAAATTCGATGAAAATTCTTAAATATAGACGAGTAATATTAATCGAAAATGCATTTTGATAAATCTTTGTTTTTTTTTTTTTTCATTAACGTTGGTATAAAAAAAAAACATATAGATATCAATGTTATTTATAAATGTATAGAATTAATAATTTAATTAATAATCTTCTTTCCTTAGACGCGAAGCATTTAATTTCTAGATGCTCTTACGATTAAACTAGACGGTATAATGGCAATGCGGCCTACCATGTAAGGGATACCACATTATTGTCTAACAGTAAAACCCGCAAGTGGTCGTACATTCCTACGATAAGACCCTCTATCCTATCTGCGGCTTTCCACAATATTAAATCTTCGATTAAGTAAGGAAGCCGCTTTTCCATGAGAAAGTACATTAAAATTTTTTTTTTTTAAACTAAATAGTTATTTTTAATCCTTTGCACTTTGTATATTTTTTCTTTTGACCATTGAAAGCAATTTTCATATATAAAATCATCTTTGTATATCAATATACGTATATAGGTGTGTGAATATTAACAGCCAACAATAATTATTTGATATAAATATATTTTGTTTAATATCATTAACATTTTTTAATAATAATAATACTAATAATAATAATAATATTATTATTATTATTAATAATAATAATTATTACATTACATATTTAATGACAAAATTTCTAATTTTTTTGAGTGCAAAGGATTAAAAAATTGAAACGATTTAATTTGTTGCTATTATTATTAGCATAAATAAAAGAAATACTCTTTTAAATTATAACGTACGTTAATATTAATGCGATTTGTAAGTATAGATTTTATACAGGATGATAATAAAGTTGTTTATGTTCAAATAATGAAAAGTTTTTTAAATATATTACATATAGTTTTTGAATTCTAGTTAATTTGATAACTTAATTTATATTTTTCCTTGTTGCATATCAAGCATTTTTGATTTCCATATAATTGTAGATAACACAAACGTGGTAAATGATACATCATAAAATATTCATTTATATATAAACTTATATTAGTTTTCATTATTTCAAGCCAAACAATAAGTCTTGATAACATTAGCTAACTTTTTATCAACACTGTATAAAAGGCACTACTGAATCACGTTTCTTTTTTGATTTCTTTTGAATGTCTATGTTCGCTGATTGATTAATCAGTAAACGTGGCGGAGATTCTTCTTATTTTATAGGAAGGTGCTCCAATAAACGACGTTCAGGATGAAAAATGAGAAGGGGAAGAAGAATCTGGAGATTTTATCGATGTAAATTGCCGTCGCCCTACCCTGACAGCAAGTATCGTACTGGACGGTAGGTGGCCTTACAGGACTTCTGCTTCTCTCGGAATCGGGCCTCATCGGGGTCTATAAATTATTACAAGATATTATAGATTTTACAATTAGATCAAATCACATGTAATTAGAGTAGTTTCCAAATTCATGAAAATATCAACACGATTCGTATTGGATTGATTTCTGGTGATTTCATATTTAAGACGGATTTCAAATGAACATTTCAAATGATCTGAATGGCGTAACAACATTGTGTAAAACGGCGTAAAAACGGCGTAAAAACGGCGTAAAAACATAAGCGTATTTTCGGCACATGTGAGATGCAACGTCTTAAGCAAAACTGGATTTAAACTAACATAAGATATTACAAGAAATACCGGCTTAGGAAGGTAATGGCTTTAAAGTGCCAATATCATTAAAAAATATAGTAGTATTAAAAAAGATTAGAGGGTTCAAATGTTGATGATACGAGGAGAGTCTTTCCCAAAACCGTACTTTAAGGAGCATTATTTTTAATTTGCTTTTTCATCTTTAATCAGGTACTAAAAATCAAACTGGTTTAGAGTACGTATATATTTATAATATAATACATTTTGTGTTAACGAAGTTTCAATATTTTTCCGTCTCTGTTATATAAGAACAAATTTGAAGAAAGTTTGAACAATTGATTATAAGTAAAAAAACCCATGAATTTCTATCTAGCAAATTTTATCGTGTTACATTCAAAAAGCAGCCGAAACTAGACGGAAACAAACGATTCTCCGATTCTTCAACAAAGTTTTAGGCAAGAAACGTTTTAACTTGAAAATTCTTGATGCAGAAAGTTTCTTGAAAAGTATACTCGTAAAATCCGACACGTTGATTTGTAACGTAAAATTTTCTATCGTTGATTTTTTACTACCCTCCTATTGTACTTTATAAAAAAAGATACGAATAATTATGTAAACATATTAATAATTTTATCTTTTTATCTTGTTGTATTTTTTCTTTTGAATATATCCGAAGATAGATTAATTACGATATCGGGACTATACTTCGAGCTTCTCTAATGGAGAAAGGTGTAGAGATATTTAAAGCGAATCAACAGTCTCGTTAACTAGAGCCTTTGCACGTGAAACACGAACGATCTATTTGCGCTACAGTGATGTAAATAATCATGCTTTTCTGAGAGAATTACCAGAGTTTACAAACGAGTTCGTGTGTACGTAAACGTAATGCAAAGATATCTATACGCTTGACATATTTAGCGATACGTATTGCAAATAACATTTTGCAAGAATTTCTGAAAACAAAATTGTAATAAATATTCACTGTTCTTCGTTCGTTAGAGGTCGAAAACGCTTAATAATAACAATTTTTATTATCTTTTAAATTTTTGTTCTCTCTCTCTTTTTCTATCTTACTCTCTTTTTTTTTTATCAATCTATGAGAATATAAAGTTGCTCATGGCTATGAGAGATAGGATAAGAGTTTTAACAAAGCTGACAACAGTCTTAAAACTTTCCACTTGACGCTCCTTTTTTTTTCCTTTTTTATCCAAAGTGCTCTCGATCATTTTACGGATAATTCTCAAGAATTCATTGAACAATATTCTTCGTAACTCAAGTACAAAAACAACTTGTGAAAATTTATATATCCATTTATAATCGAGAATGCTCTTCAATTTCTTAAATATACTTTTTAGTTTTGCTCGATAATAGTTGGGTTGGTTATCGAAAAATTTCGTAAATAAAAAAAAATTGTAAAAGAGATATAAATATAGTAAAAATGAATGAAATATGGAAATAAAGTGAAACCTTAAATTCATCGATAGCTTCCCTAAGATCCTCATCGGAGTAGCCTTTCATGGCTTTCGTTGCAACAGGACCCATGTAATTATTGACTACGGCGAATTCCATGAGGGACAGGAATACAAAGACGCTGCACGATGACATCCATACGTCAATGGCTTTCACATACGAAACGGGTGGTAACGATTGTTGAGACTGTGTATTCTGAGTTGCTGTAAATATAAGAATATATATATTTTGTTTCTTTGTTCATGATTATTCAAGAAGAGAGATATTATTTTAATATTACAACGAAATTTTTGTGGAATACGATATTACTTTTACATTTTTTATTATAATATAAAAGATCTATAATATAAACGTATTCTATATAATCTTAAATCTCTTTTAATGTTTTATGAGTATGCGCAACATATTATTCAAGTACGAGAAATATTTGTTTATTTGAATTAAATATATAAGTTAAAAATTATGTATGTGAAATACTTTGTATATGTTTGTAAATAGTATATTTTTTATAGAAGTTTATATTATATATATAAAAGACCATCGTGTCCTGTCAATATCCCCAATATTAAATAACTAGAATGATTCATAATGTACTTAACCTAAGGTAATCTTACCAAGTGTGAGGAGTGATGTTACACCAAGTGTAACTCGAGCTGGAATTGCTTCGGGTTTGATCCAGAAGGCAATCCAGGACATTACAACGATAAGGGCTGAAGGTATGTACGTGTGGAACAGGTGGTATCCTAATCTTCTTCTTAAATTAAAAACGATCTGAATACACGTGAAGTTTCCAGTCGAATACTCGATCGTACAATCGGTTGTGTAGTTGTTCGATATATCAAGCTGTGGCAGTTCAATTTCGGGATTTACTACTAACGGATCGGTCATGTTCCATATGAAGACCAAATCTTGCGTCGTATGTGATACTGCAATGTGTAAAAATATGTATTCTTATACATAAATGAAAATAAATCAATTTTATAGATTGAAATTAATGTTAAAGATGATCATACGAACAGCTTTCTATCATCATTGAACAAATTTGAGTATCATGAGGGTAAGATTCGAACTTCATCGCACAAGAGAGTACCAGAGTCAACCTATAAATTATTACACAAATAAAAACAAATTAATATTTATCGAGATAAGTAATATTTTAATAGCAAAGAATATCATATTTATGTTCAATCAAACTTTACTAACTACATTTTTAGCCCAAAATGACTTATGTATTTTACATTGCTTAAAATATCATAAATAATTTTATTAGCAATTACTCCATGAAAAGCATTAATAGTAGTTTGTTAGAGCGTTAACGAAAAGCATACTTTTCCCAAACATTATTCTTCTCATTAAAAATTTGTTTGCCAAACAATAGCTTACAATTAGATTAGCATAAATGTTAATTAGTGTGACTAACCACAAACGATATATCCTAATTTTCTATTTATAATTGAATCATAATACATATTGTTAACGAATATTCAGTGTACATCTGTCACTTTTACATAAGAACAAATTTGAGAAAAGTTATAACAATTGAAGAATAAGTTAAAAGATAATTTTAAAATAAGATACTTACTTAGACATATAAAGTAATGTTTTATCATGATAAAGCCAAAGATAATGATTCGGTATGGACATTTCATGAAAAGTAACTTTTTTCGCGTTCTTGAAAAAACAATCGGGTCTCCAAATATTGTTCAACCAATCAACGTCCAATATTCTGTACTCTTCCGACATATTCTCTGGCAATCTTAATCTAGAGTCACGCCAGCTTTGAGCCAAAAAAATATCTGCGACGTAGGTCTGTAAAAAGACAAAAAATTATTAAATACAACACAATATATATTTCATTAGAATAAATAAATAAATTGTAAGTAAGGTTTGGGTTAATGGTAGATATTAATTTTTTATTTTAAAATAACGCTACCATTAGAGACACAGAATAATTTAAGTAGAAAAATATTTCCCTTAAGAGGAAGAAGAAAATTATTTAAAGAAATTGCTTTCGTTAAAATGAATGCTTTCATTTAAAAGTTAAATAAAATAATAAGCGTAAAATGAATGAAATTATTAATGATACAATTTCTAAAAGATTTAAACCAGGATTTTTTCATCATACTTGTTAATAGTTAATAGTTGAACGTTTCGTGTGAATGATACTAGTCATTTTTTTGTCAGCAAGTTAGCCGAAAAAATCGAAAAAAAAAGGTTCATTGACGATCGTTATTGAACGTGACACTTGTCGAGGTTTATTTATAGGACGTTTCTTGTTTCTTAGAATGTAATTTAATCATTTTATATTGATTATAACAACTCACCATGGATTCTTCGTTAATAGAATCTAGGCTGAGAACGGTGACGTGAAAATAAACGATAGTAGGTTGTCCCAAAAATTTCGGTGCTCTGTGCTTGTCGTATTGCTTCGGATTTATCGGTAGGATGTCTCTTAACGATAGAGATGCCTCTTTCCTACCGTAATCTTCTTGGTCGGCTTCTCTAAAAAATTGAAAAAAAAAAAGAAAAGGGAGGAAAGATGCACTCGAGCTTATTTCTCTTCTTCATCTTCTTCGTTAGACTAATACATACAAAGCATAAACCAGTAATCAAATGAATTTTCGTGTAAAAGTAAGATACGTGCATTGTGCATTAACGGTAAATACCTGAGCGAGGGACATGCATAAGCAAATCTTGGAAGAAGAAAGAAATGGTTTTTTTTTCTTTTCTTTTTTTTTTTTTAAATAAGCTCTCCAAAAGAAGTCTAGAAAAAGTATAAGCGAGTGTAAAATATTGCCGCGATACCGATGAAACAGCAATATCGTAGAAGCCATAATAGGTCTTCGTGCTTGGCACACCTTTAAGTTTAACCGAGATAGATAGGTGTGTTCCTTACATGCAGACGTTTTAATATGCCTAACCTACGACCTCTGTCTTATATGTATGTTTTATATGTATATATGCTATTTCGCGATATCTATACCAATCGCATTACTATAATCGTGGTCACACCTCAATGCGCTTGCTCGTCTGAATAAGTTATCTTTTAGAAGATGCTTATTTGTTTAATAACTTTTTCTTTTTTTTAATTATATATAATATAAAATATATATATAATTAAAATCGAACGAAACGTTCTTAATTATATCCTATATTATAGAAAATAAAAAATATGTATTGAACATGATATTAGAAGATTTCTAAATGTACAACCTAAATTCAATCCAGTCTTATAATATGATTGAATAATAGATTCCTTTATTCAGCCCTATTCAAACGGACTAACGTCAAACCTGATGTCTTATTCTTCTGTGAAACCTAATCAAGCCAATAATCCATAGCAAGACTTTTGAGAATATGTTCTTGCCATTTTTATCATCGTCTTTTTTATCTCTTCAATATAATTTTTTTTAAAACTATTTCTTATTCGATTAGTGATCAGTAATTTGTTATAAAGTATACGTCAACAAGTTTGAATGAGTGTTTTAAATGGAACAGAGAACGTACTTTTGGATGATATCGATCATTATGGATGCGTTACCTTTCGATCTTGGGAAAAAACCGGTACCCGCGCTTTCTCGCCGAAAGTCGAATTGTACTAGACGATAGGCTATCGACTTTAATATGCCACCCTTCGACCTCCGTGGAAAGAACCGGTTCACATACTTTCTCGCTGAAACTCGACACAGTGGGAGGTTATGGTGGGGTAACGTATATCGTCATTATTCGTGCAGAAAGAAATGAATAAGTATATAATAATCAAATATCGTTTTAACGAATTAATTAATAATCTTTTGTCAAATTATCCTTTTAATAGAATGACAACGATGGCAGATAAACGTTACCTCACAATAATCTCGGAAAAAGGAAGGATAGATTTCCCATGATTATGTTGTTTCTTATTTTTCTATCATTACCCGACAAAAATATCGCATTTGACACGTGTTAATAGTTACACTATTACCGTTTTTCAATTTTGAATGGCATGAGTATTCGTGTTATCGTTTGTAACGTTAATCGGGAAATCCCCTTTCTCTTGTTTTCTTTTTCTAGAAAAAGTAGCCCTATCGAGAGAGTTCTTCACTTAATTATTTCTTCAATGTACTCACGGAAAATGTAAGGCTGCCATGTCAAACAGCGTGTACAGGTAGCAGCATAGGATCACCAGAGAGTGTCTCGTCATTCCTAGAACACGAAACGAGAAAGTTTTTTTTTTTAAGGAAAATTGTTTGAAGTAATTTGAAAAAGAAATATAAAGAAATGTTATCTTTTAGTTAACACGATTAATTAAATATTTATTTTTAGAAATTAACGAGAACTTTTATAGCTTGTGTCTAACATAGTTACAACTGTACATCTTTAAAATTTACGAAGAGAATTTACCGAACAGCTGCACATTCTATCGTGCCGATTTTCCTCTCCCAATCCACTGCGTCCTAGTAGTAGTCGTCGTCGTTGTCTATATTTAAATCGAGGCTCGCACAGCCAATCCAGATCGCAAACAGTTTTGGTATTCGTTGTTAAATAGAGGAACCCTTTCGTATATACGTTTGACGACGTTGTCACAAGGATGAATTCCAACAGTTCCAACGTTGTTTTCTCACATATGCGATCAAAGGTACGAGCGAGTTACCGATCGAGCGATCGTCGATCCGAAGTCGGTCCAGTTTGTCGCGAAAGATCATCGATCTCTAAGCACAATGGTGATAAACTTTAGACACAATTCACTGGATTCTCTCGTCTCCTTTGATACCAATAGTAATAGTATTTAGTTGTCATTGCACGTGGCTACCAGATTTACGAACACTAAAATATTCCTCGTTATTCCTATTTTTGTTTCTTCTTTTTACTTATTTCAAAGGAAGTTTATAACATTGTTCACGGAATTATTCATTTCGGCCCTTTTTCTTTTTTTTTTGTTTTATTTCTCTCTTTCTCTCCTTTCCTCGCACGATTCCTCGAGGAAACCCCTGGAACGACGATCGAGGACACGCAACTGTCGTTCTCTCGTCGTCACCGTAGAACTTGTCGATCGTTTTACGGAAAACCGAATAATAGATAGATAGAAAGAGAGAGAGAGAGAGAGAGAGAGAGAGAAAGAGAGAGAGAGAAAGAGAGAGAGAGAGATAGAGAGATAGAGATAGGCAGGGATAGTAAGATAAAGAAAGAGAGAAAAAGAGAGACAGTTGGTTCGCCACTCAACCACTGGCCACTGCACGGTGGTTGCTGCTTCTGTAAACCACCCGGTTGGTCGGTGTCTCTAAGCCAATTTGCCTATCGACTAACTGATTAAGCCCTACTCTTCTCTTTCATCGGTGCAAGAGAGAGAGAGATAGATTGAAACACGGCCGTTACTGTGTATTATGTTTGTATTTGTGCATTTGTATGTGTGAGCGCGCGCGCTTCTGTCGAAGGGTTGCTCTTCTGTGTCTGTGTCTGTATTCGTGTGTTCGGCCTTTTTGCGTGAAACTTCTCGTTGTTCACGTCGTTGTGCCTTTACGTGTGTCCTCGTAGCAGAAGAGGCTGCTGTGGAGAACACGGGAAATAGCCGCGGCCGATACTGTGGCAATAGTGTCTTCAACTTACACACCTTTCCCTCTTTTATTCTCGATATATGCCGTAGACTTGCGCGCGAGTGTACTTCTCAGGTTATTTCAGGTGTATGCATTCGACACAGTCACACTTTCCTCGGTCTAATGAGATTCTCTATACACGAGAAAACGAACGAGATTGTGACTTTCTCTCTCTTTCTCTCTCTCTCTTTTTGTCTTTCTTTTTTTTCAATTTAATTCTGATTATTCGTAATTTTTAATTTTAATTTTTTTTCCCATTAAGTTGTATGCTATTTATAAATGACAATTAATATTATATATATATAATATCATCAAACTTTCATGTGTACTGATTTCTGTCTCTGAATATCTTCTGAAAGCTTAATTTAATCGCCAAAACATAGGACATCATTTTTATAGAGCAGTTAATTTCCTATAAAAATTTGTATTGCGCATTTTATAATAGTCATTTATTGTCGAGTTATAAAATTCATAAACAAAAATGAAATTTGTCTTAAAATAATCAAACTTAAATCTTCAATATCATTCAAATGGTGAGGTTTACGGAAAAAATATAAAATACCTTTTTTGTAGAGTATTAAATTTCCTACAAAATTCGTCTAGAACATTTTTCTTTACAATCAATTAATGATGAGGTATGAATTTTAATCTATTGGACTGAGAAAAAAATTAAAAACCGCGATGCGAAGGATCATCTTATTAAAATTAAGAGCTCATATTTGGTGAGAATTTTTTTAAGGTGTTTGGCAACCCATTTTTCCATGGCACTTGTAAACAAAAAAATAATTGATTTTTTTGACCCACCCTAATATATATATAATCTCGTTTTCTATTTTTATTTCAATCTTTTCGCATGTAATTAACGAAAATAAATTGAATTTATGTAAAAAAAAATTATATATATTAGAATAATTATTTGGATAAAATGAAAAGCATGAGGGGGTGATGTATTTTGTTTCTTATCAAAACATACGAATGCATAAGAAAATTTCGAAAATTCGTTATATATTCATTGTAAAATCGATCGTATCTTTATGTCGAATTGAAAAAAATAATCTTACGAAGTCATTATCGATAATATAAAACGACAGGCATTTGATCGATCCGTTGAATAAAGACGCGAGTTGAATGGTCGTAGGAATAGTGGTTGGAAAATTAGGTTATTTGTCGAGAGGTATCACACCAAGTATGTGGCTTAATTGTGTACTATATAAGAAATATTTTTTCTTTTTTCCGAATATAACCAGCGAGGGTTTTCAATTTTCGTTGTTAAACAAATTTAACGAATTTATTATTATCATAGCAATGTGTATATTTTTACTCTTATATATGTTATGTACTATTTCGAAAAATTGTCACACAAAAGCACATTTTGTCTCAATATAATTATTGTCAGGTACGTATGATGAAATCTCAATCAATCGATAGTTATTTATCAAAAAGAAAAAAATTAGAAGAAGACAAAAAATAAGAGGGAGAAAGATTTGATACAATATGTGGGTAAGGAGAGACCAGCTAATATCTATCAGTAATCCAATTATTTCGCGGGATGTGTTTTGACAGTTCATATACTTAAATGGAATGGTGCAGGCTAAGTTCGAAGGCTGAAATACGCTTTTAAATCCTCCCTAGCTCGTGTAGCCGAGAGGTATAAGTGGGGTTAAGCTGGCGTGGTCGTGAGGTCGTGTCAAACACGATCGTAAAAGGAGAGAAGCAGAGAAGAAAATAAAAAGGAAGAAAGAGAAAGAGAAGATTATAGATCTTCTTGTTTCTTCTATATTCGCGTCTATATATATATATATATATATACGATTAATATATATGTTTCGGACACTGTATAGATTGTCCGGGGCATTCTAAAGAATCCCCACTAAGATTGGCCGATGTAATTTTAAGCATGTTTTTCATATATTGTCCGGTTAATCTATTGAATTCCCAGAGGGTTTTGGTCAATTTATAAAATGTACTTTTTAAGTTTTTTTTTTAAGGCTTTGTAAGTTTGTTTTATTTACAATAGCTGAAGATTATTTCACCCTTTCTTTAATTAAATTTAAAAATTTTCTTAGTTTATTTAATTTAACAAAAGCTTGAGATCATTTTTTATTTTCCTTGACTCGTGCTTTAAACAAATCACACTAAAGTATATTTTATAGATTGACCAAAATCCTTTGGGCATTTTATAAATTGAACGGTCAATCTATAAAATGTCCTACTCGATTAAGCATTGTAAATATATCTCGCAGTAATACATTGACCGTAACATATAATACACTGATACACGTGTAGTATATAAAGATAGATATATAAAGATAAAAGTAGTTGTAAAAAAAGTCAAAGAGTAGGAGTTGGTGTTTACTTGCGCGCGCATATTCCTCGTTTATTCGTCAACTTCTTTCACGGTTGATCCTAAGCAATTAGCGAGACAATTTAAAAAAAAAGAGATCACAGGGAGGCGCACTCGGCTTTTATACGCGATTGCATGTAGGCCAACCAACCAACCAACCAACCAACCAACCAACCAACGAGTTGTCTTGCATCGTACATAAGTAGAAAGATGATTTCTTTATAATTGCATATGAACTCGAGTATAAAAATCTGGGTTGCTTTTATTCAAATGCATCCCGTTCATGCACCTCTACTCAATGTTTGTAATATACGCTCGCTTTACGATTGTTATTAATATTTTTTTTTTATTATTTTACAGTGTTTATAGAATATAACAACAATGGGAACGTATAGTACGCATATATTTAAACTTATTTAAAGCTTTGAATAAAATAAGAGTAAATAAGAAAAAAATGAGAAAATAAGAAAAAATATTCATAATATTGTACTGTTTAAATATCGTTTATTCAAAATATTAATAATATATATATATGTAAATACTGTAAATTTATTAGATATATAGAATAATAATTAAATTACATGTGTAACACTTTTTTCTATAAGCAATATTAGTATTAAGTAACGAATTATATTTTTTTTACAGAAATAACGATACATTTTTAATGCAATGTATTTGTGAAAAAAGAATTGATAATAATGTATAATTATTTATTATCTGTAAAATATTCGAAGGAAAATATTTATGAAATGCTACGTCCAGAATTTTTTATTAAAATAATAATTTATTTATTTTTTGTCTACAACAAATAAGTTGTATTTTATGTCTATATTAAAAATTTCCTTTTGTTTTCATTATTGATACTTTTCACTACTTGGTACAATTTTGTGATATCATTATTATTTATAATAAGTATGTAAATATTATAACGAATTCAATATTCAACATTTTTTATAATGATCAATCCTCATTTATATTTTATTGTTAAGAAAATATTGTATTTAATAATTTTATAGATGTGTGATTCCTGATTAATATTATCTACTTTATAGTATTTTATTGATTGTATATGTATAATTAATGATATCTAATAAAGTAAAGATAAATTTATCTGTTATTCCCCTAATTGAAATTTATGATTATTTCATATGAAAGAATATAGTTTATCATTGCTAAAATTTTTTATTAGTTAATTAGTTTAATTTTTATTAGTAAGTAATAATATCCGTAAATAAAAATAAAATAAAAAAAAACCCGCGGAATCCATGTACGATTTAAGTTAAACTTTCTTAATAAATAATCTTTCTTTCAAAATAAACTTTATTGTTTTATTAGATTATTAATTATTAAATTATTATATTTTTTTAAATATATTTTATTGTGACGTTATCATCATCTTAGAAATTTCACTTCAAAAACATGGTCTTTTCAAAAAAATATTATAATATATATTATTTTGTCATTGTAAATTTGCTACAAAAAAAACAATATGAATTCTAGGATCATGTTTCAAGGATCTAAAATCATATATTATAATTTCACAGGCCCGTAAGAGCCCAATCGTTTATTTATCAACGCCTCGGCAACTCGTAGTCATCTGTATAATAATTTTTAACAAGTATTCGCTGCTTTATCAATCTTTCTTTCTTTCTCGCGCATTTTCTCGCACACTCACGCGTTCTTTAAATAATAATATATCGTACATGTTCACATTCACATAGTGGTATATCTATCTTTCGCCTATTCGTTTGTTTAATCTTTTATTTTTTGTTTTAGATTTCTTATCTTTCGCTTTTTTTGCAATTTCCATTTCTAAGCAGATTTTTCGAGTGCACTTTGACGTATTTTTGGGGATTTTTATTTTTATATTATTTTTCTCTTAAATGACACTGGAAGCGTTCCAAAATTTTTCCTTTTTTCTTTTCGTTTTTTTATTTTTTTGTTACATTCACCTTCTTCCGATCGACATGTGTATGTACATGTACATCGACAGTAGGTCTCGAACGTTTCGTGTATTTTAATCATTAGTTTATTAGGTACGTATTTCTATTGTGTATGTGTATTATATATTATGTATAATATGTATATACAGTCAACGTTACATCGGATTTAATTCTACGGGTGATTTAAAAATCGAAGAGATTCTTAGGCAAAGACGGATTCACGTATGTATGTTTTTCTCTATTCTCTCTGTGTGTGAATCTTTTTTTATTGGACAATACTTTTTTTTTTATAAATTCATTCTTTTCATCAATCTATTGCAATAAAATCAGAATGGAAATTATTGGCGAACTGACTTTATACGCAGAACATTAAATCGAATTAGAATTATTTCTTTCGTAAATCTTCAAAAATGAATAAGTATAATTTTAAATAGAGAGAGATTATCGCGATTATAATCACATTAATTTAACAATTGTTTATTGACAACAATTATGACACATTACTCAGGACAGCCAAGATATAATGCGATCGATATTTCATCTTTTTCCCTTTTTTTTGGAATATAATGAAATATAATTAAAATTTTACACGCGGTCGTATCTTTAATTTAATAGTCCTTTTCATTTGTCCATAACGAGTAACAAAGTTTTCGCGCGTAATTTTTTTTTCTTTTTCATTCCTATATAAACCTGGTTGCCGACTTTGCCCGATTCTCGAATAATCGCTCGTCTATAGGAGATTAGGAGCGATAGCGAGCACACGTTATAATGAGTACCAGAGTCGTTTAGGAAGGTTCAAGCATGCTTATAGCAGTGCGCTACTTACGAATATGTTTATAGATAAGATAGTCTTATAGTTTACAGTATACATTACATACGTGGCCGGGGTCAGAGAGTGTCTTTTAAGTATTAAAAAATATGTACATATATGTTTATATATATATGCATATTTATATGCTTCGCGTATTTTATACGTGTGGTATATTATGCGTATGTATATAATGCACATTTAGTGTACGCTTTTCTGCAAGTGTATAGGTGTAGGTGTGTTATGTAATTCACGAGTTGAGCTTTCACGTTTTGTTCTGTTTCATCGACGGAACATCTTTTTATAAAATCATCATCATTTCGATCAAAAGCCCACTAAATATGGATTTTACAAGAATTTTGTATAAAGACGATAACAAATTTATAATGTAGTAGTTTTTTGAATGAAAATATTGAAAGGAGACATTTAAACATCTCTTTCGACGATACAGATCTAAATAACAAAATTCTACCTTACTGACATATGATAATCGTTATTTATTCACGAGTTTACGTATTTGTTTCGTCGGTAAGGCAGGAATTTATAAAAGGGTGAACTTTTTATCTAGAACGGTTGTAATATCCTAAAAATTCACTAAAGCTTGCAGCTCGTGGAAAATAGAGATTTCTGACCCTTGCCACAAATGGTACCATAGTACGATAAAATGATTCGTTTGCTAGTAGTTTTCGATAATTACATGTGACTCAACATTGTTAATTAACAAATTTGTGTCGCTGTATAAGTCCTTTTTCTTCCCTCCGGGCAAAAAGTGTCAACTTTTCTCCTGCTGTGCAAAACGAAGTTGCCGCTTTCCGCCTACGTCGAGCAAAAAAAAAGTATACTCACCATAGGCAGTAAATAAGAAAGCCTCAGAGCACATGTTTGTTGACCTTGGCTTCGCTTCGGACAACAATTACATGTGCTCTGAGACATTTCTTACTTTACCGCCTTAGTTGAGTAATATACTATTTTTTCTGGATATGTAATACTAAACGAGTTATAATAATGCACATCGAGTTTCACGTTTTGTTTTTTTTTATTCTTTTTCTTATTCTTTCCGTTATATTTTTTTTAACACGTTAAAATTAGGCCAGACATCCAAATGCAATTACTATTAAAATGGCTCTTAAGTATTTGCAACGCATTTTGCAAACGAATCATTCTTTTATATTTATTTATTTTTTTTATATTTTTTATTCATTATATCTTTGTTGTTTGAAAAAAGCTTCGAAAAAACTGAATCTATGTGAAACATAGAGTAAAATCGCGCATTGGCTGGCCTTTCTAAGAGGCCTTGATATGTTCAATTGGAACCACCGTAGTTTGTTATCGCATCGGTTTTATCACCGTTGCTCTGTTGTGTTTTTGTCTCTTTCTTTTTCTTGAATTTTATTTTTTGTTGTTCTTGTTTTTTGGCTTTTTTTCGCATAGTTTTTCGAGTAAATTAATGGAAGAGACAACTTATTATCAAATACATAACATTGCGCTTTCAACGATCGCTTAATTGTGTGCTTTGTAAAATTTTCGTATAAATAATCTTTCTCAACTACTATACAAGAAATATTTCGTCTTTTCAGCATTCTCACGAAGCTCAGATATGATCGAATATGTTTTTAAATATAAACTCAAGAATATTTTCTTACTTCTTACTACTTACTTACTTCTTACTAGCACGTAAATTTAAATACAGGATGGAGTATCATTTTCTAAGTGATTTTAAAAATCAATTTTTTCCAAGATTTTTTAGTCTACCGTTTTTAGATTGTAAAAAAGTTTCTTCCTTAAGTAAGCTTATGGTTTTACAATCTGAAAAAAATTAGTCTAAGAAATTTCGAAAAAGAGAATTATATTAATTTTTAAAATCACTTCGAAACTTATTAGCAAACCTTGTAGAAGTAAAATTATAGAATACTAAGTATGCAGTTAGGCCACAGATTTTTTGCTTAAGAATATCTTGCAATCAAGTGTTTAATTATTAATGTAAGAATTAAAAAAGAAAAGGAAAGTGAATAGTTTTTTTTTCAAAATCATTTAACGATAGAAAAAGCGTACCATTTTTGCTTCGTGAAAATAACTCATGTTACGTCGTATATCGTTAACAGAGATACTCCGCTTTGTTTAATTAACAAATAGCATTATAAAGTACACTGTGGTATAGTGCGATTATCTTATTTTGTACGAGTAAATATATAAGATAAAACTACTATACAGTTCTATTATACAACGAGAGAACAATTGTTCAAAATAACGTTGAAGGATATTAAAAATGAAAATGATTAAGTCATTTCAGTGGATATAATGTAGTAGGATCTTTCGATGTCGTGTTTTGCTTGAGCTAAGTGAAACATTTTCAAATTGTATTTGAATGCTATGATTAAAGACAACCAAAATTCAATATAATACTTGCCCTTTTATTTTGTTGTTGTTAAAAGGTTCAAGCGTATCTATGCCTTTTTAAATTATCGTAAAAATATGTGTTCAACAACAATTCAGCAATTAATTACAACACAAACGAGCTTTGTTTTGTTTCACCGACCTTGATCATTTACGCGTGTTATTTTTTTTCGTTTTCATTTTTACGAACGCACGTTTGGTCATTCCAAAATAGATCGTTTTAGACGATTGTTCGGATACCAGCCACGAAATTTTTATCTATTTAACACCTACGCAAATATTTTCTTCTCATTGTATTTGAGTGTGTTTATGTGTAACCGTGTGTATGTATACATAACATGAGACTTACACATTCTATTCTTTTGAGCAATGTGTTAGTGGATCATAAACTTTATACATTATTGCTTTTCCGATAGCCACGTCACGTACATTCAATCTCGCTCGCGTTCATCCCAGCTCTCTTCTCATCAAAATCAACGCATTGAGCCTGTCGAGTAGATTGCAATATTGTGCCGTGTATTGTACTCGATTACAATTACAACTTATATATCTATATAGAACAGAAGAATACGTCTTTAACGCTTTTCCCTGTATAAATTAATTATAAATGCATCGAGATAATTCAATTAAATGTTTTTTTTTTTACGAATTACTATCGCGTTGATTATCTATAAATAATGAAAGATTTCTCTTAACGAGTGTATAACCTGGTGATTGCTTAAAATTCAGATAATAAAATGATCAAATAAAAAAGTAATTAAACAAGTCTTTGTGCATAGGGTTTATCTTATATATACAGTTGGGATGATCGGGAGTAGAATAATATTTTTCTATCGCATACATTCATATATTCTCCTTTGCATCAAATATATGCCAACACGATTGTACACATAATTAGTTAAGTTTCTAAATTTACGAATTCTTCATAATAAAATTAACGTTTCACTACAGCGCTGAGTATTCATATACAAACGGTATTATATCGATGTTTGTCAATTGGGATACTCACAACTATGCTTCCATCGATGGCTTCATTCCTTAACTGTATTAATTTGCATACTTATATTCAATATATGTTTTATTTATAATAATAATAATAATAATAATAATAATAATAATAATATATATTTTTTTTTGTATATATGTATACTTCGTTTGTATATAAGTGGATTCGTTTTCCTTTTCTTCCTACGTCGTTACTTCATTGATTTTTTTGCTTTTCTTTAATCGTGGGATATAGCAAATTCTCGCATTATTTATTAATGTCACACATTAGATACAGCAGCTTAGGAAACTTGGAGCCACCATTTTGAGAATAATAATTATTCGATACTTAAAACGATGGTTTTAAAATTACCATTCGTATTACAATCTCAATAGCTTCTCTTTGTCTTTACGTCGTAGTTTTACTACTTCTATTTTTTACACCTTTTATTTTATATCTATATTAACAATCTATAATTCGATCTACATCATTCGGAATCTCATAAGATTGGCCTGAAAACGCGTCATTTTTGTTTCAGGTATCAACTTTAACAAACACACCTAATGGTCCAGTATGGTAGGAGATTTCCGATTAACTCATTATACATATTAATAATTAGTGCTAGTCATTTACAGACTCTCCATTTCTTTCTCTCTCTCTCTCTCTCCCTTTCTCTTTCTTCTAATTCATTCAATTTATACACGCGAAGTCATTCCAGGCAATCGAGAATCGTGGTTGATTTTATTTCTGATAATAACACAAAATCGTCTATGCATACAATAAGGAATTTATCGAAATTTTTAAAAATCAGAGCTTGAATTATAGTACCATGTTGTAGTATTACTTTATTGTGGCCAATACGACTAACGCGATAGAATTTTATATTAGCCAAGATCATTTGGAAGAGAATGTAATATCATCGCCGGTCCAGCAGCGAACTATGGTATTATATTTGGATTTATGCTCATTTTTTATATACGTGGGTTATACTTTTTATTGAACATAAAATATATTATATATCAAAAAAGCACGTTCCGTATCGAGGTCGAACAGGTAACTGCAGCTGTTTCTGTATGTTCGATTTTGTGACAATGTAACTATAAGTCGATTTTGCTATTCTATTTTCTTTTCAATCAATATCTTGGAGAGATCTTCAACGTGAACAAAAATAGACGTCGTGGAGAAACGTAAAGAAAGAAAATAAACTTTTTCCCATCTTTTGTCGTCTTCTTTTTACATCACGTAGGTATTTCGCTAAGACATTTTTCTTATTACGATCTTGCTGCAATTCCACCACGTATACGATATTTGTTTCTCCATAATCTACTATATGGAAAGTTACCTTGCTTAGTTTTATATAGTATCATTTCGATTCTCGATTGTAGGAATAAGTTTGAAAAGTCAGACAAATAGCGATTTTGTATCTTTTTAGGAAAAGATAAATTAAATTTTCTTACATAAACATACTCACATACACACAAACACACACATACATACACTCATGTATACGTTCGTACAGATGATACTTGCATAAACGTACATTCTTTTTCATTTTTTCCTTATATCTCTTAATTATTTTCGACACTTTTTCATGTCCCTAGATCGTCGTCGATATTTTAAACACTCGAAAGCTTGAGGTTCTTCTTCCCCTTCTCATCTCGGATAAGCAACATTATCCGTGTCACGAATTGTCGACGAGATACGCCGAAATAGACGTGAGAATGTTGCACGCTAGGAGTACGAGAATAAGGATTGAACTCGATGACCTTGACACGCTTCTACCACCGTTGCTATAGGGTAATTTAACCGCAACCTCAGCCATTTTGAATATTGAGAGTAAGGGATGCGTGTGAACTTCGTGATGCTTATTATTGATCTTGCTGCTCAAATCCTCCAGCATGGAAGCGCATTCCTCCTAAAAAGAAAATCATTTCATTAAATGTACAAGTATTTATCGAGAACTAAAATTGAAAATTTGAAATTGAATGATTATATAATAATCATACTTTTTCCACATAATATAACATTTATATATTAATTTTCTATTCATCATTTAATCTCGAAAGTAATTCGGTATACGCATACTTCGCAAGATTTTCAAATACAATTTTTTCCAAAAATGCCACTTTTAACGAAAAAATGTTACATTTTTTTGTTAATCTATTTTTATATTTAGTATTATCTCGTTACTTTGTAAAAAAGTAGGAAAAATTAATATCTCCAATGAAGTTATTCAATAAAATTACCCTAGTATTCATTCGACGATAACATTTGGGCGATCAATGTTTTCTTAGGTCACGTTACTTCGCGAATTCAACAACTTGAAACATAACACCTAGTAGTTACTCGTGGAATCACGGCATCGATTTCCATTATCAACTGTCGCTATCCTTTTTCATACCTTTCAACTCTTTAATTTTTTTTTTATTTCCAGTCTCTCCTCTTTTTTTTCTCTCTCTCTTTTTATCCTGTTCTCTTCTCGCTTTGAAATTACCTTCGGCTCGTTGAATCTTTAATTTCCGGTGTAGGATAGAGAAACTGAGGCCAGAACGATTTTTGGTGATATTTTTCGTTGGTAGGAAAGGGTGTGCGAAGGGGAGAAGGGTACTGTGGGGGATGTACGCGACACACATCGTGCGTCACGTGGCACGACGAGATTTCAAAGCGTAGAAAGTACGCGTCAGTTCTTCCTCGTTCTCGTCGTCATCCTCGTCGTCGTCGTCTTCGTCGTCTCGTCGTCGTCGTCGTCGTCGTTCTTGGCGTGCTCATTCGTTTTGTAAAAATCCTTTGCCGAACGTCGGATATTCAATGAAATTAAATTCCCTTTTCGCCTTTTCCCCCAGGAATCGAATTTTTTCGTAGATAAAGATAGATAGAGTATTATTGGTAACATGATTCCACCGTAATAGGGGTATCCTTTATTCTATTTTATTCATATTACTTTCAATATTTTATTCCGAAATGTCTATATAATATATTTTTTTTATATATTATTATTAATACTATTTCAAATACAATTTCGCGATTTTTCGATGTGATTTACTAATTTTTTTTGTAACTCATTTTAACCCCATAATCATCGAAATGATAATACTTTACAAGATATTTGACATTTTAACAAACAAACAGAAATTAAGTATTTATTAATATGTTTTTTTTTTTTAGTTATTTCTTATAGATTGTAGATTTCTTTTTTGTATTCAAAATAATTTTTTCTATCACTTTCTTTCGTTTGATCCATAACTTTAGAAACATTCGATATATATGAATATAATTAATATAATAGTTATATATTACAATACATACGTATATTTATAAATTGTTTTTTTCTCTTTCATTATTATTACGCTAAAAATTTTATAGACTATATATTAGTCGTTCTGTTTGATCTCATTATACGGTATGTTATTTATTAAACATATTAATGTATACAACTATGAGGATTGCTCGAGGAGAAATTCATTGGTCAGTGATTTTAAAAATTCACTATGACATCGTCGACAATCGCATTATTCCTATATCCACGCATTCGCTTTTATCCTGTAATTCAATAAAATGCTAGCGGGGCAATAACAATCCAAGCAGGGGATTCCGGCGAAAACCCAAAGCTATAATTCATTTTACATATCGGCTCGCGCTAATTGCCACCGGTTTCGAACTCCTCCTTCTCTCACGTAGCGTGTTAATTATCGAACACGAGGATCGACGATCTTGCGGCCCGGTGAGAAACAGAGAGAGAGAGAGAGAGAGAGATTAGTTCAATTTTCTTTGTTACACGACATTCTAAATCGTTGACGATGCGACTATCACGATTTGTTCGATTAAGATGGAACATTGTAATTGAATGCCACGATACAAATTTATGTATGAAATTGTAATTAAATCATATCTATAATAAACTAATCTAACAATGATTAAAAGGGAATGATATTTGCATATGTTATATACATATAAACATTGGAGATATACGGTATATAAAACAACAATTAACAATAAATGGTAGACCATTTAAAGGATAGTATTTAAAATAAAATTCATCTAAATTACTTATCTACGATACATGAATAATTTCACTTTACGTAATAGGTTACAAATTTGCACAATAACTTTCATATTTAACAATAAATATCTTTATCTATGGATCGTATAAATAGTTCTACATTTTTTAAAAAAATATATTGAGAACTATCTCATCGAGTGTTGATACTTGAAATATTATCAATAGATACTTACATCCTATCTATTTAAATAAGATTTAATTAATGCGATTAATGTAACCTCTAAGATTATAAGTTGCTTTTCGCTCTAGAAAGTTTTCTACCAAAGATCGCGATCCATGAAGGAAAGCTTGTATACGAGAAAAGGGAGCAAGAGAGAGAGACAGAGAGAGAGAAAGAGAGAGAGAGAGAGAGAGTGAGAGAGTGTTTACCATCGAGTCACGGTTTAATTAATACGGGGCTGCGGCATACCGACGGAATTCTGCGGAAGCTCGATACCCCGGTATAATTTACGAACGTTCTCGTCTATTACCGTTAGATTCCTTTTATCGATATAATACAGCTAAATATTTAGATGCACACGTAAATAACATAGTTCCAAGGAAGCAAAGGTGAAATATCCTATAGAAACACTTCGTTGACCAATATCAAGAGAAATATTTCTAAATTGAATCCGATAGTTGATCCTATCCTTTGAAGAAGATAATTTCTTGCTAAAATTTGTATTTTATAAATTGGATCTTTTATCCATCTATCTGACTCGATAAATTATTTCGTAGATTGAAGATCAACATGAATTCATTAAAAAGTGACACAATATGATGACTTAGATGTAACTTAGAGAAAGAAAAGGGACAAAAAGAAAAATAAAGAAAAAGAGAAAAAGAGCGAGTATCTATCTCAAGGGAAAACTAAGGATCGTACTGCTTTCCAAAGGAGGGAATAATGTTCCTGATCCACAAGAGAATTCTGAGAACTAATACTATTTCTCTTTCTCTTTCCTCTTGAGAAATCGATCTACGAAGCAAAGGATCCTATCTATATACGTTTGAAGATACGTGAATGAGGAACCGTTATAAGATGGCATCGCGATGGTGTGTCTTAACCGTTGTTGCAGGTGCATCCGCGTTTCTCACCAGACAGGTAAACCATTATCTTTCTTCCTCTGACAGAATCCCTTATTAATGGCCGGCTAATTGGATTTCTCAGGAGAGAAACGATTAGGTCAACGTACCCTTGTATGCGAAGATAAACGGATAGATAGAGAGACAGAGAGATAGCCAAAGAGAAAGAGAGAGAGAGAGAGAGATAAAATTCGAAGTAACGAAGAATAGAGAGATCTGTTATAGGAAAGCGATGTTCCTTACTGACCCCCTTTCCATTTCATACCTAAACTTCGATTGAAAAGGAAGAAAGGAAGAGAGAGAGAGAAACAGAAACAGATTCTATTTGATATCTGAAACGATTATATTCGCAACGTTCGTTTACAGTTCGAAACGAGACCCTTTTGCGACTCGTGTCGACGGACAATCTTATCAATGTATAATGACGTGATAATGGAAAAGATGTACATCGACGATAAGAATAACTGTTTGACTGTAATTTTATCTTTTATCTCTTATTTTTAATCTCTTGCGTCTTATTTTTATCGTTTGTTATCCCCTTTCTTCTATCATATTTCTTTTTAAATTAAAACTAGTTTGAATAAACTTCTTCACATAAATAATTTATATTAATAGTACGTAATGGGTTTATCGTATGGTTAATAACGTAAGGAGAAGGAGAAAAGGGGGAGAGAGAGAATGAGAGAGTAAAGGTGGTGGTGTACAATAATCTTTTTAATTTAATATAAATTTTGACGATGACACGATCGGTTAGAAGATCTAAGCGGTTGGTAGTCTCATAAAAATCGTGCATTAGTGCCGATAGTAACTATAAACGAATATTTTAACGATCGCGTAAAAGAATCCTTTCATTGAAGAAAAGGCAACACTCCGACCATCTCTAGTATCTATTTAATTGATAACGACGTCGAGACTTAGTTAACGTTCAATAACATAAGTCTAAAAAAAGTAGTCGACAAAAATGAAACAGTATAGGGAAGAGAGAAAGAAGATGAATAAAAAAGATGACAAAACTGTGAGTCTACGTGATTACATATTTTTTAGCTAGTGAATTTTCGAGAATAAAAGAATAAGTAATTAAATTAAAATAAAATTAGAATTAATAGAAAATGATCGGAATCGTCACATCTATGAAGTCGAGGATTATGAAGGAAAAATATAAAAGAAAAATAACCTTTCCGAATCTATTTTGATATCATAAAAGTATAGTTATTCCCATTTCTATCGAAATAGAATCATTTTACTTAACTTTACTATTTAAAAGTATCTAATTATAACATATTGTATTAATATTTATTTATGTAATGTAATTTAATGCTCAATGTAATAATATATCTAAAGTAATTAATGTTTTTTAAGTAAATTTCATAAAAAAATAAATAATATGAAAATGTAATTTTTCCATTTTCTTCGCTTTATTATCTGTATATTTCAATCATTTGTTAAATGAATAAATAAATTTATTTCAACAAACATAACGATGAATTATTATTGTTTATGTAAATCTGGGATTAAAAGAGTTCGATCAAAGGTAGTAACGTAGAAAGTTACATACATTTTATGTCGTTTCATGCGAAATCACTGTTCCCATTTAAAACATGTAAAATAAGGAAGATGTGCATTAAAAAGTCTTTCCACTCGTTTCACAGGTTCAGACCAACCGTTCTTAAACTCCAAACCTCTCGTGACGGTGCAACGCTGTCGGACTGTTTAAAAAATGAAAGAACTCCCTTTTTAAATTTCCACAGTTACCTCGTTCTTATAGTCTTTTTGTATATCTTCTTCATTTCTGA